GCATTGCTTGCTATGGGAAAGGAGGGTGCTGCAGTTTGAAACCATTCCCACATGCTATGAACGCGGAAGAAGCCAACCCCGCATATCCTTTGGCTTACCATGGCTGCCTGGAAACCGAATTCTGTTGCCCAGCTATGTGTGATGTGTCACCATACTGGCAGGCACTCAATATAAAAGGCAAAATGTGACCTTGTACCTAAAGCACATGTGCTGTCTGCTGTGAATTGCTTGATTCACTGTGAAAAAGTCTCCCTTTTGTTCTCAAAAATGTATCTTCTTAAATTTTACTCTCCCTTTTTATCCTCCCTGCAGGTGCATGTTTCTATGTTCCCCGTATCATCTCCTTCCCTGAGGTTATTGCAGATTCGAAGGCAAAAACACGCACTCGCGATGACATGTTTTCTGAGATCATGCAGTCTTTCCGAACTGATAGGGCACAGCTGAATGCATGGAGGCATTTGGTGGCAGAGGCCAGGAAAGCATTCAGTGAGTGTGATCGGAACACGTAGGAGGAGATGCTGAAGCTAATGGGGGAGCAAATGGACATGATCAGGTGTCTGGTGGAGCTGCAGGGAAGGCAACAAGAGCACAGACCGCCGCTGCAGCCATTGTATAACCACCTGCCCTCCTCCCCAAGTTCCATATCCTCCTCACCCAGACGCCCAAGAACGCGGGGGGCAGGCTCCGGGCACCCAGCCATTTCACTCCAGAGGATGGCCCAAGCAACGGAAGGCTGTCATTCAAACAGCTTTGATTTGTAGTGTGGCTACAATAAGCAATGTTACCTTGTCCTTCCCTCCTCCCCCAGCCCACCCAGGCTACCCTGTCTGTGATCTCACTTTTTTCTTAATAAATAAAGAATGCATGGATTCAAAACAACAGGGACTTTATTTCCTTTGCCAGCTGTGGTCGAAGGGGCGAGGGGGATTGGCTTACAGGGAAGTAAATTCAACAAAGGGGGTGGGTTTGTATCAAGGAGAAACACACACAACTGTCACACCATAGCCTGGCCAGTCATGAAACTGGTTTTCAAAGCCTCTCTGATGCACAGCGCACCTAGCTGTGCTCTTCTAATCGCCCTGGTGTCTGGCTGTTCAAAACTGGCCGCCAGGCGATTTGCCACAACCTCCCACCCCACCATAAACGTCTCCCCCTTACTCTCACAGATATTACAGAGCACACAGCAAGCAGCAATAACAATGGGAATATTGGTTGCGCTGAGGTCTAAGCTAGTCAGCAAAAAGCGCCAGCGAGCTTTTAAATGTCCAAAGACACATTCTACCACCATTCTGCACTTGCTCAGCCTACAGTTGAACTGCTCCTTACTACTGTCCAGGCTGCCTGTGTATGTCTTCATGAGTCAAGAGAGCAAGGGGTAGGCTGGGTCCCCAAGAATAACTATTGGCATTTCAACATCCCCAACGGTAATTTTCTGGTCTGGGAAGTAAGTCCCTTCTTGCAGCTGTTCGAACAGCCCAGAGTTCCTAAAGATGTGAGCGTCATGCACCTTTCCCGGCCATTCCACGCTGATGTCAGTGAAACGTCCCTTGTGATCCATCAGTGCTTGCAGCACCATTGAGAAGTACCTCTTGCGGTTTATGTATTGGTTGGCAAGGTGCTCCAGTGCCAAGATAGGGATATGCGTTCCGTCTATCGCCCCACCACAGTTAGGGAATCTCATTGCAGCAAAACCATCCACTATGACCTGCACATTTCCTAGAGTCACTACCCTTGCTAGCAGAAGGTCACTGATTGTCTTGGCTACTTGGATCACAGCCGCCCCCACGGTAGATTTGCTCATTCCAAATTGATTCCCGACTGACCGATAGCAGTCAGGCGTTGCAAGCTTCCACAGGGCTATTGCCACTCGCTTCTCAACTGTCAGGGCAGGTCTCAGCTTGGTATTCCTGCGCTTCAGGGCAGGGGAAAGCAACTCGCACAGTTCCATGAAAGTGGCCTTTCGCAGCCACTGGGAATCATCCCATACCTGCAACACGATGCGGTCCCACCAGTCTGTGCTTGTTTGCCGGGCCCAGAATCAGCATTCCACTGTATCAACCTGCCCCACTGCCGCCATGATATCCCAATTGCCACATCCCATGCTTTCAGGAACATCTGTGTCCATGTCCTCCTCACAATCGTCCTCATGTTGGGGTCTCCTAGCCAGGTTCTGCACATACTGCAGGTTAATGTGCGAGGTGTTTACAATGCTCACAACAGCAGCGGTGAGCTGAGCAGGCTCCATGCTTGCCGTGCTATGGCATCTGCATGGATAACCAAGGAAAAAAGGCGCAAAATGATTGTTTGCCATTGCTTTCAAGGAAAGAGAGAGGGGAGACTGACGACATGTACCCAAAACCACCGGTGACAATGTTTTTGCCCCATCAGGCATTGGGAGCTTAACCCAGAATTCCAATGGGCAGTGGGGACTGTGGGATAGCTACCCACAGTGCACCACTCCATGAGTCGATGCTAGCCACGGTATTGAGGACACACTCTGCCTACCTAATGCGCTTAGTGGGGACATACACGATCAACTGTACAAAATCGCTTTCTAAAGATCGACTTCTATAAAATCGACCTAATTTCATAGTGTACATACCCTGAGCAACCGCTACTACACGAGCTGTTCTTGGAGTAGCTTCACACAGCACAACGCCATTTCTGGGCTTGGAAACCAGTATTAATTGGTTGGAAAGGACGGTTCTGCAGACCTGGGAGGACATGCAGTGGTGACAGGATTTCTGGATGGCAAAGACAGCTCTTTTTGAGATCTGTGCTGAGCTCACCTCAAAGCTGCAGTGGCAGCATACTAACATTAGGGTGACCAGATGACAAACATGAAATATCGGGACGTGGGCGGGGGGGGCGCGGCAGAGGGGAAAAAAAAAGCCGGCAGCGGGGAAAAAAAAAAAAAAGCCGCTGGAGCACCTGCCCCCCCCGCCAGGCGGCACAGCCCCATCTCCACCCACTCTATGGTGGCCTCGGAGCTGCCAAGCCCACGTGCTGCACTAGATCCCCAGGGCAGCCTGGCTCGCTTCCTGGCCGCCCTCCCTGTCCGGGCCAGGCCACTCCGTGAGCCATGGGCGCGGCGCAGGAGGCCCAGGCCTGCCTCGCCTTCTACCGGGGGCTCGGGCGGAGGGAGCCGCTGCGGGATCTCTGCCGGGGCGTGCTCACCTTCCTGGAGAAGCTATACTGGAGCAGTTCGCAGGGTGAGTGCTGAGGGCCACCCCCTCCCTCCAGCCTTGCGCCGCCATACAGCTGATCAGCCAAGCCTGGAAGGGAGGAGGAATGCGGCGTGCTTGGGGAAGAGGTGGGGCCAGGGTGGGGATTTGAGGAGGATCCAATGGGGCAGTGAGGGGGCGGGGCTGGGCCAGGGCGGGGATTTGGGGAGGGATCCAATGGGGGGAGGAGGGGATGGGGCCGGGGGCGAGAGCCCCTCCAGGCTCCGCCTGTGCGCTGGAGCGGAGGGCAAAATTGCTTGTTTGTCCAGTGTCCCGCGGGACAAACAAGCAAATATCGGGACAGTCCCGATAAAATCGGGACGTCTGGTCACCCTAACTAACATGCTGTTTACCATCGTTGACAAACAGGTCACCATCTAGCAATGGTCCACCCCCAAGTGTTACTGGTCTGTAGACAACCAATTCAGTGTTGGAAGATCAACTGTGGGGATACTGTCATGCAAGTGTGTACTGCTATCAGAAGGTATGGGTGCACGGGGTTATAAAGCTTGGCAATGCTAATGCTTAGGACTCTATTGATGGCTTTGCATACATGGGGTTCTCAAAATTGTATTGGGGCAACTGATGGGACCCACATACCTATCATTTGCCTTCAACATGAGGCGTCAGAGCTGAATTGAAAGGTGTTCCCTATGATGATCCAAGGCCTGGCTGACGACCGTGGCAGCTTCACAAACATACATGCAGGGTAGTCTGGAAAAGTCAACAATACTGGGATCTTTTGGAACTCGTGCCTGTTTATCTTAATGAGCGGAGCGTTTGCCTCCAGGATCACTATGGACATTAACAGCATGCAGATTTCTTTGGGTACTGTGGGAGACCCAGTTTATCCTCTGCTACACTGAACCGTGAAGTAATTTATGGTGCACTTCGACAGAAGGAATAAACTGCTTAACTATCGTCTCAGCAGTCGCAGAATGGCAGCGGAGTGTGCATTCGGCCATTTGAAATCAAGATGGCATTATCTTTTCATTAAGTTAGAAGCTGCACAATGATATTTACCTAGGATTATAGCTGCATGTTGTATTTTGCACAATATCTGTGAGTAAGGGAGAAAGTCTTAATTTATGGGAGCCTGTGGTGCCGAGATTTGCTCAGCAGTACGAGCAGCCCCAAGGCATACAAGGCATTGTCAGGGACTGCTTTTGTTCTTACTTTGAGTCTGGTGCCTGAAGGAGTGCAGCTATACATCCAGCTGTGGGTTTTTGGGGAGGAAGGGGGGAGAATTTTGAGCATTAAAGTTGATTTTATGGACGCTGGAAGTGACACATTTGGTTACTCTATTTTATACCATCTGTGCTTTTATAAAAACTTATGACACTGCTGTTCAATTGAAAATTTGTGGGTTGTGTGTACCATCCATTGCAGGTGCTTTGGGACTTAATGTTTTTTATTGGACAAATTATTGCAATAAATAAAAACCAAAAATAAAACTTAGAAAATGTTACAAGCGTTGATCTTAGTGATTGAAACAACATCAAACACAGCTTTAAAGTGAAAAAATGACTTTCAGACACAGTGGGCTGAAGAGGGCAACACACAATAAGTCAGGGGAGGGGGCTTCTGTTCACACGCAGGTGAACATCTTGCCTTTGCTTCTTCTAGATCCTCTGCCTTCTAGGGTAGTGTATTGGGGTCACAGTTGTCACGTGCATTGGGTAGTGCAGATGTGCTGGGCTCCCATGTGGCGTTCTTACTACCCTGTGCTGAGGCTGGGGAAGTGAATGGCTTCTGGGAGCAAGGCTGGTGTTCCCAGTACCCTAGATAATCGAGAGGCTGCAGAACATGACCGGTTCTGGTTGAAGATGCTGGATTGTCTGCTGGCCTAATTTCACTATGCAATCCAACAGAACGTTCTGCCTGATCATTGCCTCCAGGAGTCCCTATCTTTCTCCGCAGCGTCTTTCGTCATGGCAACACTGCCTCGGGCCAGTTCAATGCTGTCGCAGGATAGCTGCCTGTCTTTCTCTTTCAGACATCAAAAACACTTTCCAGTTGTCAGTAGTTTTCGAGGGTTTTTTGGAAAGTCTGTAAGGAAGGCTTCAGACATCTCATCCTTAAACCTGTTTCTTCCCTTTCATATCGGTCAACTGCTCAGCTCTTGATAAAGGAAAGTACAGAAAACAACAAGTAGTTATTGTCCATATTAGTGCTTTTTCCATAGAAGCAATTACAGCATTTTTTTGTTTTGTTTTAGCCTCTATTTCTGAATTCCATCCCTTGAGATTCATCCCAGTCTTGGGAGGCCTCAGAGGTGATAAGTGATGTGCAATACATAAAGGCTAGATTAGGATGTTGGGATTTCTGTTCCCGGTTTGGGGTTTGAAGTTTATGCTGTGCCTTGGAGGAAATAATATGGTGTGGAAGTGAACTGGATAGTGATCCCCTCTGCATCCCCTGTAAGCAGTCCCGACTCTTGATGATGTTATACTGAGACAAGGGATTAGGAGGCAGAGAAGGCACTTATTCAAAAAAGCAAAGGGAAGACCAATGAGTTACGCTGCTGTGATGTTATTCCCCAAGATGGTTCCCTCAGAAGTGCTGCAGAAGCGGAAGGGAGTCGCAAACTATGTCAAGGGCAATGATCATGTTACTGTTCCACTGAATGTCTATACCAAAAATAAAGCAGAATCTAAGACTGAGAAATTGCTAGATCTCCCTGCTGACATGAAGAAAGTGCAGAGAAAAACAGATAGGGTTCTGGACTGATTGTCTGAAACCTTAACAGTTCCCAGTCTTTTTCTATGAAATATGTAACCCTGTGAAAAGTCATTATGCCACCTTTGTCTACTTGACTGCTGTAATGCTTAAATGGTATTTGGTGTACTTTGGCTAATTGCCTTACGATCCGTACAGTTATGCTATCCCTAACCTAATCTTCTTTCCTATATGAATTCCTATTTGCAATGCTGTTACAGGGCATATATACCTCAACTGGGAGCATTAGCCTTACTACCTTTATGGGCATACAATACCTCATGAATATACCTAATGCAATACCTATGCCTACATATACTTCATATAAACTGGTCCACCATATCATTCAACAGGTGTTCTAACAGGATGCAATATTCCAGTATAGATAAGATCCTACATGTACAGGACACTCTTTAAAGGGACCATTTACAGCTGTGCAGTTAGCAATACCCATAATGACTCAACTAAGAACTCTCTTATTTAATAAGCATTTAATTATCCAGGGTGTAATTAGCAAGCCACTAGTTTTCTTTTAATATTATTAAAGCATCTCTTGACAATACATATACACGATGGGACAGATCCTGCACTCCTTATGCAGGCAGGATTCTCATTAGACTTCTGGCTGAGTAAGAAGTACAGGATCTGCCCAAACATGGCGAAGAAAGCCAGGACAAACTAATGCCAGAATTTTACTGCTTTTGTCTCTGGCAATTTAAGGTAGACCTTTATAGTTTAACTATAATAAACATTTTAAATAAAAAGTGATATAAATGTTATTCCTTGATACTTTAGCAGCATTAGCATTGGCATTATACTGAATCACCTCAAGCAACATAGACTCTTCATAGATTGCTACCACTCCCATATGTAAAATCATCATCCTTCCCCAACAAGTATTTACTTGATGTCACCAGAATGGTTTAATTGAATCATAGATTCAAACTGCTCTGTTTATTCTCTGCATTGATGCTCTCTTTTTCTTCATTTGAATGAAGAAAGTCTGTAGTGCATGAAAAAAAAAAGTTCAAGGGTCTACTTCTGCATCATCTCTTTCAGCACAGTTCCTTTTACAGTTGACAGAGCTATACTGAACTACCCATCTTCACTTGCCAGCGAATAGTTCCCTCTAGTGTAATAAAGCAATAAGTAGCATGATCAAGAAATACACCGTGGAACAGGGGGTCAAAATATTTCTTTTCAATTTATCTGTGTTTTTGTGGCATCAGTAACAGGTTTAGTCATTTTCCATGACAAGAGGAAGAATTTTGACTGTTGAAATTAGTTGAATGACTGTTGAATCTCTCAGACAAATAAAATACACAGTGGAAAAACAATAGCAATTGCTCAGTAGTCGGGAACAGATAAGCACAGATGAACTAGAAGCTATTTTAATTTTATACTTTCCTACATCCTGAAAAGACGCCAAAGAGAGAACTTTTCCAACCTTGGGGTAAATCCCGCTTCCACACCGCTGATTTCTTCTCCACAATGTGGCTCACTAGTGTATATTCTACATGTATATCTTACAGAAAACTTCTATCAGTTTAAATTCAGCAAGATGGAATGTTACCATTAGCTGTCATAGTAATAATTTATCTTAAAAAAAAAATCTAACATTTTGATTTGCTGGAGATAGCTTCAAAGCATGGAGTCTTGAGAAAGCATTGCATGGGACAGTAAAGAGGTGCTGTGATACAATAGAAAAATCAAACACGTTATGCTGAAAAACTATATAAGCTTCAAGTGTTTTCCATTATTCGGTTTCCATTTGTGCTTGCGCATAACAATATCTATTTTAAACAAGGGATTTCTCCCTCATGATCAAACTTCTCCTACTCTGTCCTGCAGCACATGCCAAACCTGAAAGCTAGTTCCAGGGCAAGTGACTGAAGTCAAAATAAAATGATAATTTGGTATGTGTTTTTTATATTTTCAAAGTACTGTGCAAAATTAATCCACAAAATAATCCTGTGAGGTAGGCAGGCATATATCAATCTGTTAAGGAACCTCACAGTCAAAACTAGGATTGGAACTCAGGAGTTCCTGACTCCCAGTCTTGAGTTTAGACCTAAAAGTCTTTTTCAAATTAGAGAGAGTTAGGGGAAGAGAAGAATGATGTTACAGTGGCTAAGTCTTTCTATGTTGTGAACAAAATAAATCACAAAAGTTACAACACTGAAAAGTCTCAGTACTTCAGTACTCCAACTTGCAGTATTTTGTGCTGGTTGCCCATCCTGTCTCTCAAACAACAACAGATTCATAGATTCATAGATTCTAGGACTGGAAGGGACCTCGAGAGGTCATCGAGTCCAGTCCCCTGCCCGCATGGCAGGACCAAATACTGTCTAGACCATCCCTGATAGACATTTATCTAACCTACTCTTAAATATCTCTAGAGATGGAGATTCCACAACCTCCCTAGGCAATTTATTCCAGTGTTTAACCACCCTGACAGTTAGGAACTTTTTCCTAATGTCCAACCTAGACCTCCCTTGCTGCAGTTTAAGCCCATTGCTTCTTGTTCTATCCTCAGAGGCTAAGGTGAACAAGTTTTCTCCCTCCTCCTTATGACACCCTTTTAGATACCTGAAAACTGCTATCATGTCCCCTCTCAGTCTTCTCTTTTCCAAACTAAACAAACCCAATTCTTTCAGCCTTCCTTCATAGGTCATGTTCTCAAGACCTTTAATCATTCTTGTTGCTCTTCTCTGGACCCTTTCCAATTTCTCCACATCTTTCTTGAAATGCGGTGCCCAGAACTGGACACAATACTCCAGCTGAGGCCTAACCAGAGCAGAGTAGAGCGGAAGAATGACTTCTCGTGTCTTGCTCACAACACACCTGTTAATACATCCCAGAATCACGTTTGCTTTTTTTGCAACAGCATCACACTGTTGACTCATATTTAGCTTGTGGTCCACTATAACCCCTAGATCCCTTTCTGCCGTACTCCTTCCTAGACAGTCTCTTCCCATTCTGTATGTGTGAAACTGATTTTTTCTTCCTAAGTGGAGCACTTTGCATTTGTCTTTGTTAAACTTCATCCTGTTTAACTCAGACCATTTCTCCAATTTGTCCAGATCATTTTGAATTATGACCCTGTCCTCCAAAGCAGTTGCAATCCCTCCCAGTTTGGTATCATCCGCAAACTTAATAATCGTACTTTCTATACCAATATCTAAGTCGTTAATGAAGATATTGAACAGAGCCGGTCCCAAAACAGACCCCTGCGGAACCCCACTCGTTATGCCTTTCCAGCAGGATTGGGAACCATTAATAACAACTCTCTGAGTACGGTTATCCAGCCAGTTATGCATCCACCTTATAGTAGCCCCATCTAAATTGTATTTGCCTAGTTTATCGATAAGAATATCATGCGAGACCGTATCAAATGCCTTACTAAAGTCTAGGTATACCACATCCACAGCTTCTCCCTTATCCACAAGACTCGTTATCCTATCGAAGAAAGCTATCAGATTGGTTTGACATGATTTGTTCTTTACAAATCCATGCTGGCTGTTCCCTATCACCTTACCACCTTCCAGTGTTTGCAGATGATTTCCTTAATTACTTGCTCCATTATCTTCCCTGGCACAGAAGTTAAACTAACTGGTCTGTAGTTTCCTGGGTTGTTTTTATTTCCCTTTTTATAGATGGGCACTATATTTGCCCTTTTCCAGTCTTCTGGAATCTCTCCCGTCTCCCATGATTTTCCAAAGATAATAGCTAGAGGCTCAGATACCTCCTCTATTAGCTCCTTGAGTATTCTAGGATGCATTTCATCAGGCCCTGGTGACTTGCAGGCATCTAACTTTTCTAAGTGATTTTTAACTTGTTCTTTTTTTATTTTATCTGCTAAACCTACCCCCTTCCCATTAGCATTCACTATGTTAGGCATTCCTTCAGACTTCTCGGTGAAGACCGAAACAAAGAAGTCATTAAGCATCTCTGCCATTTCCAAGTTTCCTGTTACTGTTTCTCCCTCTTCACTAAGCAGTGGGCCTACCCTGTCTTTGGTCTTCCTCTTGCTTCTAATGTATTGATAAAAAGTCTTCTTGTTCCCCTTTATTCCCTTAGCTAGTTTGAGCTCATTTTGTGCCTTTGCCTTTCTAATCTTGCCCCTGCATTCCTGTGTTGTTTGCTTATATTCATCCTTTGTAATCTGTCCTAGTTTCCATTTTTTATATGACTCCTTTTTATTTTTTAGATCATGCAAGATCTCGTGGTTAAGCCAAGGTGGTCTTTTGCCACATTTTCTATCTTTCCTAACCAACGGAATAGCTTGCTTTTGGGCCCTTAATAGTGTCCCCTTGAAAAACTGCCAACTCTCCTCAGTTGTTTTTCCCCTCAGTCTTGATTCCCATGGGACCTTACCTATCAGCTCTCTGAGCTTACCAAAATCCGCCTTCCTGAAATCCATTATCTCTATTTTGCTGTTCTCCCTTCTACCCTTCCTTAGAATTGCAAACTCTATGATTTCATGATCACTTTCACCCAAGCTGCCTTCTACTTTCAAATTCTCAACGAGTTCCTCCCTATTTGTTAAAATCAAGTCTAGAACAGCTTCACCCCTAGTAGCTTTTTCAACCTTCTGAAATAAAAAGTTGTCTGCAATGCAGTCCAAGAATTTGTTGGATAGTCTGTGCCCCGCTGTGTTATTTTCCCAACATATATCCGGATAGTTGAAGTCCCCCATCACCACCAAATCTTGGGCTTTGGATGATTTTGTTAGTTGTTTAAAAAAAAGCCTCATCCACCTCTTCCACCTGGTTAGGTGGCCTGTAGTAGACTCCTAGCATGACATCACCCTTGTTTTTTACCCCTTTTAGCCTAACCCAGAGACTCTCAACACTTCCATCTCCTATGTCCATCTCTACCTCAGTCCAAGTGTGTACATTTTTAATATATAAGGCAACACCTCCTCCCTTTTTCCCCTGTCTATCCTTCCTGAGCAAGCTGTATCCATCCACACCAACATTCCAATCATGTGTATTATCCCACCAAGTTTCAGTGATGCCAACAATGTCATAGTTGTATTTATTTAATAGCACTTCCAGTTCTTCCTGCTTATTACCCATACTTCTCGCATTTGTATATAGGCATCTAAGATACTGGTTTGATCTTTCCTCCCGGTTTTGTCCTGACCCTCCTTTCTCTCTGCCAATATAGCCCACACTTCCTCTCGTCTCCGACCCATCTCCCAGGTCTCCATGTTCCCCACTTACCTGCGGGCTTTGCTCACCTGTCCCCGTCGAACCTAGTTTAAAGCCCTCCTCACTAGGTTAGCCAGTCTGTGTCCAAATAGGGTCTTTCCCCTCCTCGAAAGGTGAACACCATCTCTGCCTAGCAGTCCTTCCTCAAATAGCATCCCGTGGTCTAGGAAGCCAAAGCCCTCCTGGCGACACCATCTTCGCAGCCAGGCATTCACCTCCATGATGCATCTGTCTCTGCCTGGGCCCCTACCTTTGACAGGAAGAATCGAAGAGAATACCACCTGCGCTCCAAACTCCTTCACCCGTACTCCCAGAGCCCTGTAGTCACTCTTGATCCGCTCAGTGTCACACCGCGCAGTATCATTTGTGCCCACATGGATGAGTAGCATGGGGTAGTAGTCAGAGGGCTGGATAATCCTCGACAATGCCTCCGTAACGTCTCGAATACGAGCTCCCGGCAGGCAGCATACCTCCCGAGATGAAATGTCAGGGCGACAGATGGGCGCCTCCGTCCCCCTCAGCAGAGAGTCTCCGACCACCACTACCCTACGTTTCCTATTCGCAGTGGTGGCAGCAGACCTCCCAGCCTTAGGGGTACGAGGCTTCTCCTCCTTTACTGTAGGGGGTGATGCCTTCTTTCCTGTATCAAGAAGAGCATAACGGTTACCTATTACCACAGCGGGAGGGTTCGGAGCAGGGGTGGAGCACTGCCTGCTGCCAGAAGTAACCAGCTGCCAGTGTCCACCCTGAGCCATCTCCTCCTCCACCAGTGGTGTATCAGCAGTCCTGTGTCCTGGGACAGCTACCTCAGCTGTCTCCACATGGACACTGTCCAGGAATTGCTCGTGGATTCGGATGCTTCTCAACTTAGCCACCTCCTCCTGTAGCTCTCCCACTTGCTGCCTGAGAGATTCCACCAGCAGGCACCTTTCACATTGGATGGTCCCCCCAGCCTGGATATCAGTAAGTGGAAATTGCAAGTTACAGTCTCTGCAAAACCACACCAGGATCTGGGTAGAAGCATCCATGCTCAGGCGCTCTGTCTGGCTACAGGCGCAGGTGGAGGAGACAGACGCAGTGCTGGCACAGGTGTTGTGGGTCTTCCTAACCATCGTAAGCCTCCCTCTGTCAAACTCCCGTCTGCAGCCCCCTGTCCGCTGAAGGGGTTGTTTAAGCAAGAAGTTTAAAGTTTTAAGGGGAATAAAGGGAAAACAGATAGAACCGGCAAGGGACCCTCGCCCCTTCCCACTGCCCTTCCCAACTCCCTTGCGAAACTCCCTGTTAGCAGCCCCTGTTCGCAAAAGCTCCCTGGTCGCTTGTGCGCTGCTTTATAAAGCCCTGGCCTGTATGAATGCCCCGCCCACTGATTAAGGCTCAGCCAATTACCAGAGGCTTCTAGGTTTCAAACCTTCCTTTGAAGCTCACAGCTTCCAACTGTCAGCCACAGCACACGGTCCTTCAAACAACCAAACAAACAAACAGACTGACAAACACAAGCTCAGCACACAGCAAGTAACCCCCAAACACAAACAAACACACACTGCAGACAGTCACTTACCCCAAAAGGGTGCTGTATTGCTCCTCCTTCACCTGGAGAACTCCCTTGCGAAACTCCCTGTTAGCAGCCCCTGTTCGCAAAAGCCTAAGATAGTGGTGACTTCCTATTTATTAGCTATTCATTGTTTTATTATGTGCAAGAATAAAAGTAAATGTCAGTATTAACCTTTTTAATTAAATGCAGCAATTAGAGAACATTACCTTGCAATTCACTTTTAATACCCGTCTGCAAAATGGTGACTTTGCATCAGATGCATGACAAGGTCATGCAGATAAATTCACCTAGAAGCAGAAGGAAAAAAAGGTTATTGCTCCCATGAGGAAGTGTCTCATTTACAGAATTACAGGGCTCCCTAGCAGAGATAAAAATAATTGGGCTTTGTTGTTTTTAAAGCGAGATTGTAAATGCCTCACTGAAACATCTTGAAAGATGTCACCATGCCTCAGTGGGTCACAGCTGAGAATACAAAATTCAGGACAGACTGCTGAGAAATAGAGCAGACTCACCCCAAACTGGTGGTTATTCTATCGTTAGATTATACCAAGCCAGTAACAAAAGTGAACTTATGTCTCACCACACTGGTTAACAAAGAAGCCAAAAATGCAGTCTTCTTAGGCATTCCAGCCCTTGGCTCACCACACAGACACTGAACTTTATGATGAGTGGTTACTGAAGACCAATTTAATTAAATATAGGGTCCTTCTAATCCCAAGGGACCAGCCACTTAGCCAGGTCAATATATAACTCAGATCTTATCCAATAATTATGTTGATGCCAATCCTTACTAACTAAAAGCTAAAGGTTTAAAAGAAAAGAAGAGAGTTATAAATGATTAATAGATCATATAGATACAAGTGATTTTTCAGTGTTCATAGATCAGGATCATAGCAATGATGGAATAAACTGCTAGCTTGCAAAACTCTCTCCCTGGAATTACCCAAACAGGTTGGAGGTCATCAGTCCTTGTTTAGAACTTCCTTGTTAGAAATCCAGTCTATAGAAAATGAAGACAAAAATGGATATATGTCAGGGTCCTTATATATCCTCTGCCATGTGCATGGAATTTTGCTGTCCCAACTAAACTCACAGCCCAGGTGCATGGAAAATTACTGGGCCAAGATGGAGTCCAGGGTCATATGAGCGTATCACATGCCATTACATGCTTTGATGACTCACAGGAGGTGGCTATTGGCCCCTCGGAAACTGATGCATCAGCAGGAAGACCATAGATTCATAGATTCTAGGACTGGAAGGGACCTCGAGAGGTCATCGAGTCCAGTCCCCTGCCCGCATGGCAGGACCATGCCCGCATACAGCTATCTGGGCGGGATGAGTTTCTTCTTAGGCCCACTGGGAGAGTGAAGTGTCCTTGATGGACCATCACTACATAGCTGTCTGGTACCAATGTAAATCCTGTCTGGTAGGTGTTACCCAGGACTAACACACATGTATCAGATACAACTCCATGACCAATATTCATAACTTCAGATACAAAGATGATACCTGGATTGACACTTACATGACATACTTTGTATAAGATTTGTTGCAATTTGTTGCAATTATATAACAGTGGTAATATCAATGATGTAAATGGTCATATTCAATCATACAGCATCAAGAAGAGTCTTTCAGAATTACCGAAAGTGCCAGTTACGGAGTAAAAAGGAAATGCCACCCAATTCCGGGGGGGGCGGGGGGGGAGGGGAAATCTTAGGGACAATTTCTCATTTACATTCTGCCTACCTACAGACAGCTGCAGTTTCCAAATGGTATTTTTCACTTCATTTATTATATTGTTATGGAGAACTGCTATGCCCAGCTGAACAACTGATCAGTTTTTCTACCATCAAAGTACAGTCACCACTGGGAAAAATTATTCCTCTGGTTATCAGCTGAAGTCTGTAAAATGCTCTGAGATCCTTCATGATTAAAGGTGCTCTATAACTGACATATAAATACAAAAAAGCACTTTCTTTAGCACAGGAAACTATCTTTGGGTTTTGTGCAGTATTGTGCACACTGTCAACATGTAATAAATAATAATAAAAGAACATTCTCTTTCCCAGTTGCAGGGAAGAAGAATCCTGCCCGTACAACAGGGTCACTACACAGAACACGGGTTGCTATTAAAAAGGTGAACTACAAAGGGAGAAGGGTTCCATAAACTTTTATGCTGCTTTGTGACATATGAAGAAGACCTGAAAGGATTTTTTTTCACTTTCTTAAAGACTAAAAATTCAAGTTTTGTCTACCTGGAAACTCTGTTTATGACTACTGAAGGGATTATAAAATTACAAGGAAAAAAATTGAAAACTGAGCAACTGAGGGTGAAAGATTTTTCCTCCAGCAGTTTAAGATGTTTTAACTCCTATTTAACACCAAGGTTTAACAGGGAAAGACCATCTGTAAAGATCCCACCACCCCAGCCCCAAGGAAGAGACGCAAAGGCTCATACAGCATTTTTATACCGCTTTATACAGCATTTTTCATCCACAAGATCTCAAAGTGTTTAACAAAAGGTGCCTAAGCATCAGCTCCACTTTTCAGCAGGGAAGATTTAAGCACAGAGAATTTAATAATTTGTCCCAAATCACACAGCTCTAACAAGTGCAGAGCCAGGAAAAGAAGCAGCCAGCCCGCCTGCGTGCCAGCCTGGTACCTTAGCCAGTAGGCCACCGCCTGTCCACAGTGGCTATGTACTCAGTCTGGCTCAGTCATGTCTCCACTGCCACTACCTGTGCTGCTATATGGTCTAGAAGATATCTAAACAATTACCCCAAAAATGATAGATCAGTGTTAAGACACTTTCAGTAGACTTCGTATTAAAAATCTTAGTATGAAGATTTTTAAAGGGAATGTTGCATAATAGCTTTCTTTGTTTTGAGACTAGTTAAAAGGTAACTGAAGGCTTGCAGGTCAGTAAAATGGGAGCTTTACACAGTGCGGCACGGGAAACCTCAAGGGTTCTCCAGCAAACCCAGGGGAGCCAGACTTGATATTTCTAGTGGTAAAACAGAAGAGGAAAGAATCCCTCTCCCCACACACCAATCTCAGAGGCCCTTTCCAGCCTTTATTATACACGGCAGGGGCGTGAGAGCAGCACACAAGCCCATTTGTCTCCCTTTTGACAGGTCACCAGAACACAGCACCAGGCAGCAGTGACCGACGGGCTTTCACCACAGACATCAGCCCCTTCACTGCTGCCCAGTTACTCCAGAGCAGGAGCGGGCGGTGCGGTCAGGTGCAGTTCAGGAGTCTCGTCTCCTCCCCGCACCTGGAACCCCCCGGCCGGCCCGCCCGCCCGCCCGCCCCCTGTTGTGGCGGGAGCTCCGACGGGCGCGCTCCCCCCGGCGCCCGGCAGGGGTCGCTGCCGCAGGAGGCCCGCAGGCCGGCCGGGGCGGGGGAGACGGAGCCGCGCCAGGCCCAGAGACGCCGCCGGAGCCGGGCCATGGAGGAGTTTCACCCCCACAACGACGAGGTGGGGCGCTGCGGCTCGGGCCCGCGCCCAGCACCGGGGGCTTCGCCTGGCGCGAGGGAAGCGGGGCGGGCTTTGAGCGAGCGGCCTCGGGGGCTGGGCCCCGGGGAATCAAACCGCCGGCAGGACGGAGCCCCGGGGAAGGGGAGTCGGGCCCCAGCTCGCTGGAGTGTCCGTGTCCGTGTCCCGCAGCGCGGAGCCCGCGCGGCCCGGGGGTGGCACCGAGTTGTGTATCCCGCGGGGTCCGCCGCCTTGCGGGGTGTCTGGGTCAGGCAGGTGCTGGCCCCGTGTGACAGCGGCTGGGTGCAGGGCGCTGCCGCGGGGCCCTGGTCCAGAAGGCCGCCTTTCCTCCTGGGCTGCGGCTGGGAAGAGAGTCACACTGGGACAAGGCTGGGTGGGGTCTGGCAGAGGTGGGAGTTGCAGGTAGCCAGATCTGTACCAGCAGCTGCTTCTTGCAACGCCCTTGAAAGGGAGTAGGCAGTGGTTTGAAGCAGAGGTAGATACAACTATTGCACCAGAAGACATAAGCTCAATTGCTGGGGCGAAGATCTGAAAAAATCATCTGCAAGAAGGCTTCAGCATCTCTGTGGAGAAGGGGGGCGGGGCAAACAAGTGTAGAAGTTTCAGTTTATTAAGTTCACTCTGAATAAATCTACACCTGTTTTTTTCCTTCCTGTCTTCCTGTGTAAAAAGAGAATATATTCTTAGGACAATTCTTGAGCTTTGAAAGAGTGCAGAGAAGTTGAGAATGGCAAAATGGCTTTAGAGGGAGTGATTTGATTTAGGGCTAGTTCCTGCAACTGGATCTGCTTGCACAGCTTTCTGCACCATGCGCAAAGCCCCATTGATATCAGTATCAGGGACACCTGCACAACACTAGTCACAGGATGTGGCCTTTCAAAGATTAAGGGACAATCTTCCTAGAGCACAGTGTTCATATTTCAAAAATAAGCTTTGAAAATCCTACTGGTTTAGTTATCTATTGATATTTGTGACAGGTTGGTAACCCCAAAGCATAAATCAGTTTTTTTGACAAGAAATGCAAAAAACTTCTGGGCCCACTCTAAGAACAGTAAAGTGAATGACAAGATCTTATTTATTTCATTTTGCCATGCTGTTCCCAGCCAGAGTAGAAGAATTAAACTAACCAGATTTAATCTATTCAACCCTGCCTCTCCACTTCTAGGAACCACTAGAGCATAGCGAAAATTATGAGAATTAGTACTTTCTCATTGGGTAGGCTGCTTATGCATCTTTGTCTGTAAAGACAGCACCCAACACCAAAGTGTGGGGGAGTGGAAGGAGAAAGTAACATGTGGAATAAACTAATGGAGGGAAGGCAACAGAGAAAAAAAAGAACCAAAAGATGAGAAGGGAAAACCAGCAGACAAATGCAGAGAAGACTCGTGATTTAAATAAAAAAATATTCTGAATAAGTGACTTGGCATTCTAGTGCCTATAAAACTCAGCAGTTGTCATACTAGGGTTGCAATCACTTGTTTTATCGTTTGTTAAAATAAGTGTAAAAAAATAGTCAATAGGAATCCTGATTTCAGTGGGAGTGGGATCCCTATGAAGGGAGTTCAATTCAGTCTTTTGTTCTGGTGGATATTCATGATCATGTGTAAGGCATGCCTAGAGACATGGTATAAGAATCTTTTAGGATAGGGAAAAATGAGTTTGGACCCTGGTATCCAGGCCTCAGCTTTTAAAATCCCTCTTTGAGGGGGTTGTAACATGGCAATTAATGCCAGATGGCAGCTGTGCTGTGTTGAAGAATGTGGAGGTATTTTTAAAACTACTTTTGATCTAGTTTGGGTTTAAAATACAATTTAACTGGGTCTGGTGCTGGATCTATGCCTTTTCTAGTTGGGGTAAGGAAAACTATATCCCAAGTCTTTCTTTTCTCCCCAGAATAATGTGAAATGCTATAAGTAACTGATTATACTTCTAACTTTTTAAATTATAGATGACCTTCAATGCTGAGGAAGCCCACAACATCGTTAAGGAGGTAGGCTATGTTTAACAATTTTAGTGACTTGAATGAAATACAATATTTAGAAAAAGCTGCATATCACTTTCAGTGATACTTTCATGCTTTTAGCATACATGCATATTTATTTATTAAATATAATTTTGGAATTAGTTTTGAAGACAGATTTTTAATGCCTTTTTATACAAGGAAAAGTAGGCTATGATGAATAGTCTGTAATAGAATTTGTTAAATGCAACACCATGGCAACCAGCAACTGAATAGTGCAGAGCCTATTGCTTACAGGTCCTGTGGAGTTCTCTAGGAGACAGTGTATTAAAATGAGATTCCCTGAAGGACTTTGCAGACTCTGCAAGTCCCTCTCTGCATGTCCTGTCAAACTTCACATTTCAAAAACTGTTCCAGTATGCACAGCAAGCACAAAAACAATGTCAGATAAACAGTTCAGCTCTTTACACAACTAGCCTTTCAAGGTAAGGACAAATACTGTACACTTTTTTTTGCGCATCTGATACAGGGAATTAAGCCAAGTATCCATGCCCCATTTCAAAAGTTAAGTAAAGCTACCATACTGTTGTCTAGCATTAATGCAGCTCTAGAAAGACTAGAAACCTTGAGAAGATTTCTTTTGAAAAAACATTCATAAAATGGTATAAAGTAATAAATGGAAGCCAACAGCCCTGTCTTACTTCCTGTACGTGTCACAATGTATAAAGGTTGATTAAAACTAGCCTAGGGGTTTGATCCTGCCCGTCCTCAGGGCATAGGCCTCCTAAATAACTTAATTGGGAGTTGAGTGCATGGGGTTTACATCACTGAATCTAAAAAGTGTACACAGTCTCATTTAATTATGTAGACTTTTTCAGATGTTAATTTCTTTACAATTTAAGATTGGCCAATATTATATTTAGTCTCAGCATGTGAATTCACATGACTGGATTCCTTTATGATAGAGGCTGCAATTTAATAAGAATTAGAAGGGATTAAATTTACAGGAAATGCTTTCAGTTTTTCACCATTTTAAGTTTACACCGTTGGGTTAAACCAACGTGTATTGTTTCCATTAGATATGTTCCTTTACTGAAAGGTGTGGTTTTTTTTTTTTAATGTTCCAGTAGCACTTAGGAACCCATACTGTATTTCAAAACACAAGCAGTGACACCTCAGCATTCCAGGCAGCCACAGGTTATCAATAAGAGTAATGGGAAATTTTAGTTCCTTCACTGTAAATAAACTCAAATGTTCATTTGACAGAATTGTTAGAACGTATTCAATGGCAAAAAATCCCATTAAGGTTGCTGAGTGGTACAGTATGTGATCCTGTTGCAGAATGTTGAGTTGAGCAAAACTCCAACTCTATTTCCCAGTTTTCAGAAGAGTTAAAGTTGCCCACCTAAGCATTAGAATGGATAACAGACTTACCTTTACTCTGCCAACCCCACAGTTGCTGAAATACACATTCTTCGCCTGCTTTCACAACTCATTCATTCTCACCCACAAAGCTCCATCTAACTCTATTGAAGGACAAAGAAAAAAATGATTGCACACACCACCTTCCCTATGTTCCCCTGGAGCTGGTAGCAGCCAATGGGAGTTATTTGTAAACACTCCAGGTGCAATCAGTATGTTATGTGTATCTGTGCTAAATGGTGAAGACACTCGTTGGGCCTGTTTGGTAAAGGTGTATTCGGGATATGAGGATGTCTGGATTATTTTCAAGTGCGTAGTAAAGCTTTGATTGTGATTTGAGGAGATCTTTGTTTTGCACCCTTTGTGCATGAGCAAAGGGAAGAGGTGCATGTATACCTGCAGGATACTGTATGCGTTATTTCAGTGCAGAATTGCACGTTATATACTTTGCAGGGCAAAGGGGTTTTATTACAAAGGGCAATTGACTAAGTGTATGAGTGAAGGCCAGGATCTGGAACCTCCTGAATCTTACTCACACTGGCCTTTGGCACTATTATTAGGGATGTAAAAGTTTAACCAGTTAACTGATAAGCATCAGTCTTATTGGTTTCAGTTAATGATTAAACTCCGTTCCCCCATCCAGGACTCCAGCCGGCCCCAAGTAAAACATGGGGCTGCTGTAGCACCCCTGGCACCCCTAGTTCCCCGGTTAGACATTTAACAGTGTAACCAATAACATTTTAATCAGTTACACGGTCACCTTTTTTAACTGCTATTTACATCTCTAGTGAGTATGTGGTATGTGCATACTGAGGCATTGCTTGAAGAGGGTAGATGGAATGTGATATTGGGCAACCTTTGTCCCCCTCCCCCACTTTGTCCTTCCATGACGTTAGCTGGATTCCTGGGGATTGTAAAAGCTTGTACGTTTCAACAATTCTTAGGGTGGCAGAGTAAAAGTTACATGTGTTAATGAGGCATATTGGGGCATTTCTGAAAGAGGGCACAGTTAAGGTTGCATGGGCAACCTTAATTGCATTTCCTAGTTTTCAGAAGTTTGAGTTTTGCTCCACTGAGTGTTCTGCAAGGGGACGATCTACCACCAAGTAAACTATACTAATAGAAAGTTATAGTTTTTTACTATTGAATTTCCTAGTTTTTTGAACAGGAAAGATATGTTGGTGGTAGGGTTAGTAGGCATTTAGGTAGTTGTACACATATCCCACAATTGCATACAAAACCAGCCAGCCCACCACTATCTTGCCATTCCCATCCCCCCATGCGCACATCCCAGCTGGACCCCACTAGCTCTGCTTTGGCACACCTCCCCAGCCATATCCCTGACTCATTCAGTACCTTCCCCCCCTGTAACCGGGCCCACTACTGTACCTAGTCTCCCCTACTTGTGGTGGTGGGAACACATCTCCCTGAAGTCTTCACACCCTGGTATACAAAAGTTTCTATTGCTGTTACTTCCCCCTACCCCCTCATAACCCAACTCATATTTAGTGCCTGGAGTTAAAAATAAACTGTGTTACAGTGGAATAGTGTTTCTGTTCAGGTTTCAGAATGGTTAGAGGGTGGAGTTTGTGGCAGGGCCAGTAAGAGAAATGTTTTTCTGTTCCAAAATACAGAGTTTTATATTTGAGAGAAAGCTCCTCTGACCCCGTCCAATAAAAGTACTCAATCTTCCAAAACAGTGATGTTTCAGAGCTCGTAATATTTCTGTGCAATACAGTAGACTTTTGGTCAGCCATGTCCCATTCAATTTCCTGATTAATCTTCTTCCAACACTTATTAATAGCTTTCATCTTATTGCTGTAGCAGTTATGTAGACACTCAGCCAAATCAGAAAACTATCACAGTCCCCGGACACAAATCTCTGATGTGGTCCAAATCTGCTCTCATACATTGTATGAGGTGAACACCAGGAATAAGAGCCAGATCATTTCCATTCAAGTGAATTGCCAGTGTGCCAGGTAGATCACAACTTCAAATCACTGGTTACACACCAGAAAGTGGGCAAAACACAATGCCAATGCAGACCACATGTCTCAACCCAAATCACTTGTCATCGTGTACACCTTGCTGTCTGGGAAACTTCTGCAACCTTGTGATCCAGGAATTGCCTAGAATCTGCGTGTTGACAACTCTGGCAACACACAGTCCTTTTCTCTCAGCAGTCAAGGTACCTGCACTGCTAGTTCCAAACCTCCATGCCGTGTCTTTGGAAACCACATTAACCTGCTCCCAAGATCAGGAAGTTACCTCACTCCTTTTCTGCCCCCTCACAACTGCAACCCCTATTCCTGTCCCATCATTTCCTCTCTTCCCCACACCAAAGTTCTGTCTCCTCCCCACCTGATATAACAAAACTTTGGTTAGATTGCCTGCTGACCTAACAGCAAGCACAGTAAAACCTCCCCATAAATAAAAACACATAAGAAATCTTTTAGCTAGCAACATGAGTTATTAAATATTTATTGTGCAGGTGTACAAAGAAAAGGTCAGGTTCAAAGGAATGTGCGGACATAAATGCCCCGGGCAAGCATAAAGTAACTGCATAGAAACCCTCTCACTTTTTTCCCCTTTATGGGTGCATGTTAGCTGTAATCCTTTCAGGCAACACATCTGTGCAAGGGTAGTGAACATGATTTTAAATATCCTCTCTCAGTTTGGGTTCCCATGCACCCTCTCACTTAGAGGGTGCCATGCACTACATTGATTAAACAGATTGAAACTATTTTTATCCACATCACATCAATAGTTTGGTCCCTAGCTCTGTTAAAAAAAGTTAGAAACAAAAACGGCTTCCCCCCCCTCAAATTACTTCAAATTAGGGTCACTAACCCTACCCTGTGCCCTCCTGAGGCACACCTGCTTTCAAAAGAATCTAATTCAGCATGTAGATTTTAAGAAAGCTTGACTTTTAAACAGAAGTCACGTTGCAGTCTTAACTATTTAAAAGGTATTTTCTGCAATACATTTCTACTGACAGCCTCACTTTGCCACATCAGTTGTATCTTTGAGCTAGACAGAAGAATATATAGTAAATATCCCAGCATCTATGGATGCTGAATTATATTTCATTTCCCATTTCAGCAACTGGTATGCAGTGAGGTAAATTGATTTCAAATGATTAGTCTAAGATACTCAGTTGCCCTGCAAGTGTTCTGGGATTGTTTATTAAATATTTGGAGTTACTCTATTAAACATGGTTTGTTTTGAGACATTTCATATTGATGTATTACTAGTGCAATTGATTTTTCTCTATTTGTAGTGCATAGAAGGGATTTTGGGCAAGGTAGATTACAATCACAACAAAGTCAATCAATGGACTGCAACTATAGTGGAGCAATCTTTAACACATCTGGTAAAACTAGGAAAAACATACAAATACATTGGTAAGTACCAGTATCCATACTTTGCCTTATACAATTCAGATGAGTAATTGCTGGGAAGAATTCGTTTTCAAGCTAGGAGGTACTTTGAAGTTTAAAAACATACCCTCTTAGTTTTCTCCTGTACTGTAATCTCTCCCGTCTCACCCATCCGTCACACACACACACCCCGCACCCCCCCAACAGGTGATTAGGAACTGAGAAAATGTCCGTATTATTTGTGTGTATGCTTAATCACTTAGACATTTATATGCAACAAAACTGGCAGTTTTTTCATTTTTACTTGATGCTAAATGCTGATAGTGTGCCTAGCCCTGTACAAGACATACCATAGGGACAGTCCCTTCCCAAAGGAGCTAAATCTGACAATTGTCTTTCCTGTTTCTCTTAAAAAAAAAAAAAAAAATCAACGAAGGGAAAGTAAAGAAAACCCAAAGTTATTACATCTGCCAAAAATTCTCATAATTTCAGAAGGTAGGTTGTATTAATCTAAATCCTTACCAAAAGGATTTTAGAAATATTTGTACTTGAGGTTTAGCGTACAGTACACACCCTTATAGAGGATGTTCAATTGATTTCATCCTAAAGGGTAGATTGTGTCCCCTGTTTTCAGGGATGCACATGTAAAGGAGAAGTTAAAAGGGAAAAAGTACACACTATGCCCACTTTGGCCCGTATGTGTAGGCTGGACACAGTGGCAGGGCAGGTCTTTCCTTTGGGGGGGGTGCAAAGACTCCTTCCAGCTCGAGCGGATGCTGGCACTTGCTTCTTCAAAGGCAGCTGGACCATGCTAGATGCTGCACCCACTTAAAAGATGGTGTAAGACTACATGCTGCTTCTCCTCAGAGGAGTTCCAAAAGCACCATCTGCGTCAGGCACAGTTCCTCCTGCAGCTCGCACTGGGACAGTGTGTCTCCACACCAACTTGGTGAATGGCTGTGCCTTCAAGTGCAAATTAATTCTAAATATTTTAAAAGATAATTAGGGAATTTAGTCATACCAGTGAGCTTTCTGGGAAAGGGGTTATTTGCATACCACTAGGGTTATGTCTACACTGCGAGCTAGGGGTGTGATTCCCCTCCTTGTGTATACATACTCATGCTAACTCTCAGAGCAGTGTATAACAGCATAGCCACGGTAGCAGCAGCATGGCTGAGCCTGAAACCAGTGGCTATGTACTCAGTCTGGCTCAGTCATGTCTCCACTGCCACTACCTGTGCTACTACGTAGTCTAGAAGATATCTAAACAATTACCCCAAAAATGATAGATCAGTGTTAAGACACTTTCAGTAGACTTCATATTAAAAATCTTAGTATGAAGATTTTTAAAGGGAATGTTGCATAATAGCTTTCTTTGTTTTGAGACTAGTTAAAAGGTAACTGAAGGCTTGCAGGTCAGTAAAATGGGAGCTTGTCTATGACAGTGTGATATAACAAATACATGAAGGGAAGAGGCTGCCAGTCTTGTTTTGTCACTAAATGAATTAGACTTGGCTGCGTTTTGAGGCTTCCAATTATATGTTTCATGATGGTAGTTTCACTCAGTCTGCAGATTAATCAGTCTTGTTTTATTAATGAAAACACTGATTTTATTACTCTGTCCTTCAGTAACCTGTGCAGTGATGCAGAAGTGTGGCGCTGGTCTCCACACAGCAAGCTCGTGCTTTTGGGATACCACAACTGATGGTAAGTTCCCTCATTCAGATTCAAGTCAAATAAAAGACGGTGAATGTGCTACCCATTGCTCAGCTGTGCTACAAATAGTATTTTTAGCAGTTTGAAGGGTTGATTACAAAAAGCCACCAACTCCAGACCCGGAAGCCTTGTATGCATTTTCAACAGATGCACTCAGGATTGAATGAATAATAGATGGATGGAGAACACTGGGGTATGACAAAATTAGCAATACCAGTGGAGCTATCTTCCGTATGAAAGAAAGATTGTGCAAGTTAGTCCCAATAGAAGATTTTCAATTGTAGGGACGCTGACTTAATTAGTAGTGTGTGCTCTAAATGTAAATTTGCAATTCTGAATGTTTGCCTACTTATTATAAGTGGACTGCCCTACTCTAAGAGAAGCTGGCACGAATAAAGAATTGGCTTTTTTTTTAGCTAAAGGTTTTATTTCTTTCTTGCAGTCAGTTGCCATGTTCCTTTATTTTATTCACTTATGCATTATTTCCAAGTTCCCCCATTTCAGTTCACCATGTGGTGTGGTAAGATTATTGGACTGCTTTCAAGCCTGCCAGGGCTCAGTTTCTTTAAGTACCGTAGAAAGGACTTAAAATGAGGCACCAGGATTCTGTTGTAATACAGGTCAAAAGACTGCATTTAAAACACAAGACTGAGTTGAATCATTAGTTAGAAAATAGGTTCCAATAAATAAGTACATTCAGGTCAGAGTTTGTGTTGGGATACGTATATATTGTTGGCTTTAGAAATGTCAGAGCAGCAGCTTCTTTTGCTGATTTCCCATTATGTCCATGTAAATAAAACCACATATTCTTATCTATGTTCTTAATGTCATAAGTATAGTACGAGTCTATTCTTATTTTGCCATGGAAGTTTCTTTTACATACAAAAAAGCAAAAGAGCCAAAAAGTATATAAAAGGATTTGAAAATATTGATTCATTGGCTGAACGTGGAGGGAGGGGGAATTCCTTGTTGGCAGGGTGGCAAGGACTGACTTAAATCAATGTTTTTAAAAACTCATTCTGAACCAATCTTCTCTCCCTGTGACTGTGCCAGGTAGGCTTTGAGCTTAAGTAACTATCAAACGCTATATGTTGTGTGATAGGGAAGAACAAGAAATGATTTTCTGACCTCAGGAAAATTATTAGTTCACGAGGACAGGAGGAAGTCATTAATCAGAGCTTTTCACTCCATTCTTACACTCCATAGTAATTTACATTTCTCTAATCTTTAGCTGTAGAATCAAAAGTTGGAGAAAAAGCTATTTTTCTCCAGGTTTATAGAGAGAATTTAATTTGTTATATTATATTGGGGTTTTTATCTTATTTAAAACTAAGTTTATTAGTAAATAGTATGTGTAAATTTGATGCAGTTTTGATGGTATTAGTTTCTGTATTCCAAAGAGAAAAAGGTAAGAGTAAATTCATCTTTATGGAGAGGATTACAAATTCCTATTACATTTCCTCAGAGAAATGAGTATCTGAGGGTTTTTTTAATCCTAAATTTCTGGTCTTTTGCACTGAAATGTAATAGAATTTAACAGAGAAGGCATGGGGAGCAAGCTTATTTTCTGATTTATTTTTTTAAATTATCTTTTAGGTACCTGCACAGTGAGATGGGAAAACCGGACTATGAACTGCATTGTCAATGTTTTTGCCATTGCTGTTGTCCTGTAGCTGACTGGAGTACAAATATTAAGTTACACCAAAGCCTTTAAGATCAGAAAGTATCAAAATCTCAAAGCATATTGCCATTATATAATACTGTTTGTGCACTAAAGAAAAAGGTATGAACATGCTGTAATGTCCATTACACAAAGTGTACATTCTGAACAAATTCTTTCAATTTAACTTGTGACAACTGGCTTTCCTTTAGCAAATTTTAGCAATTTAAATATTCCAGATTGATGATATGTTAAACTGGAGATGCCATGATATTAATAAAATGAGAATATGGATATTTGCATCAAAAGATTACATCTATAATGCAAGTGAAAGTGAGACTAGCATAGGTAAGCATACCCGTGCTTGCCTTAATCTAGGTAACGCGATAGTATAGATGTGACTGCACTGGCTAGCTGCCCAAATACAAACCCGTGAGTGAACCCGGGTATGTACTCAGGTTGCTAGCCCATGCTGAACCTGTGCCACCATGTCTACACTATTGTTATCCATACTAGCTAGATTAAAAATAACACAGGCATGCCTAGCCACACAACAAGGACACCTTCACCTGCAGTGTAGACATAGGCAACTGACACTTTACTCACAGGCAGATGGAGTAATTTAATCAGCGGAAGGGAGATGAAAGGATACAAGCATTAAGAAACAGCGAGATTAAAATGCAGTTGGGAATAGACTAGGAATATATTACATTTACAGTATTCCTAGTATTAAATGATAAGTATCAGTGCCTCATATCTGATTAAACAAGGCTATTTCTAGATTATGCTGCATGAACACCACAGTTACCTGATCAAGCGTAAAAAGCCCAAACTGCTTCTCTGCTTGGGGGACAAAATCATGCCAAAGCATTTATTTCTTCAGTGGACTCTAGTCCTTGTAAAGGGTATGATCTTTCTTCAAATACCATTTGGAACGCTGTCATTGAATTAAGTGGAAACATGATTGGGTGCACTGTTCATTAGCACTCAGTGCATATGAATATATATTTCTTAAGAAGAATTCACCAAATTATAAAACTAGTTTAATCTGACCTGGCCCGATTGGTTCAGTGACTAGAAGAATGTAGGAAAACTCATGATGGGAGCACTTTGCACATTCCTGATCCAGTTTAAGTAGGTGTCTTTCCTAACAAAGGACCCAATTCTACACCCGTTGACCTCAGTAGAATCATGTAGAATTAAATAAATGAGTTTGTGTAGGTAGGAGATGCCCACATTTTTAAAAGGGCCTTATTCTCTCTAAGCACACATATATGATACAGAACATATCCTTAAATTATATTTATAAAAGTATTGCCTATACTCCCAAGTCTAAAATTGTGTAATAACTATGAAGTAAAGTATAAAATAGTAAAAAATTAGTAACATAGCTAAGGCCCCCCATCTTGCAAACATTCACACATGTGCTCAGTTCACAGATATGAGCAATCCTATTACATGAGACATTCACAGGATTAGTAAAATTATTTGTGTATGTAAGCAATTGCAGGATTGGGGGTCTACATAATGCCTAAATTATGTAAATTGTCAAGTATTTGTACTGATCATAAAAAGATCCAAGTTGTTACTGCCACTGAGTGGCAGCCATTTTAAGTTCTGCCATATCTCAAACAACGCTTAAAGATTTTTTCTTATTTACTATCTATTCTAAAGATATTCAGTAACTATCTAATAGTTGCTATAAATCTGCTTTGCATTTTAACATGGACTTTGAAAGCACTGCTTCAATATTATGCAATTCTGATTTATTTATTTTTAATTATTTTTCAGAGTCACTCTGATTTGGTCAAATGGCAAATATGTCCTTAAAAAAAAAGTTACAACAACCCTGGTTCTTCAAACTGTATTTGAAATTGCTACAAGGCTCCAAAAGTTAGAACCTACATACATCTAGAATACACAATGCTAGTTCAGAATCCATTGCTTGGCAGGCATAAATAAAATAGAATTCAGCTTTTATATGAGCACAAATAGAGTGAAGCTCAACAATATTGCATTTGTCTAGGAGGCAGGTAGTGTGAAAACATTTGCATGGTGCACTGAATTTCAGATATATAATAAAGTAAATTAAGAAAGATTATTTGGTTTAAGGGCAAGATGTGCATGGTAAAAATATAGGGATAGCTGCTATCCCATTAATTTTATAAGCTTTAGCTGCCATGACTGGAATAAATATTCCTAATAGCCATTAACTTTGTTAGTCTTTTTTGCTGTACTTGAAGATACGAAGTGATATCTTATTCAGTGTAACTAGGCTTGGTGGAGTTCCACTATGGAAAAGCTCACTAAACAGTTTTAAAATATTGATTGTTGTAAAGTTACTTCATTTTGTTTCTACCAGAAATAAAGATGGTTTGCCTTGGCTGTATTTACCTTTGGTAGGATCAGCTCATCATAGATAGATAGCTTGCTACTACACTTCTTCCTCCATCTTGTATTGTTTTATAAGTGAAGCATGTTATTACAGGTGCACAGATATTTTGGAAACTATGGATCTGTCCTGGCAAGTGTCCCAAAATTCAGGGAGTAGTGCCGATTTCTAATATCCTTCCCCAACATTACATTCATCCTTACTGCCTTCCGTACTATTTTACAAGATAACTTTTATTGGATCAACAAATTACCTTCATTACAGAAACTTCAGGACCAGAGCACTTTATTCTACATTGTTTAATTGTCTTCTAATGGGTCAACAATCTACTTTGTACTTATTTTTCTTCTCAGTGACTGCTTTAGCTACAAACATTTATTAATGTTATAATTTATTCTAAAATACATGACTGCATTTCTTCAATATATAGTATTTTTAAATGTTAAATTCTGATTTTTTTAAATTCCCTTTATCTCCAACCATCTCAAAGCACTTCAGAAAACTTACCATCAGACATGCAGTCTTATTAATGGGATGAAGATGAGTTTGCAGTGGGACCTATTATAAATCCCCCAAAAAATATTATTTTAGAACCTAAGTAGTAACAAACTTAGCATGGTCAAAGATGGATAAGAACCTTGCAGATCCAGATTGAAAAAATACCAAAGCAGTTGGGGGGTGGAGCGGGGGAGTAAGGGGCAAAATGTCAATTTCTGTTACTTTTCTTCTACTAACCCTGCAGATTCCCTTCCAAGGGGTTGAACTGTGCCATTTGGCCAGTGCAACCTGCTTTCCCCTTTTCATACTATGGAAACACCTGAGTTGGGATTCTCTGGCAGCTGAAATCATGTAAGAGCAAAGGTGCTAACTGTAGAGAATCAGGGTCTTTGCATAGATAGCCCTGGCCTTCACAGGTTGCATTAGACCCGCCCCCTCCTTTTTCAGGAAGCAAACTGAGTCCCCAAATCCTGATAGAGTTAATGGGAAACTGAGTAGAATCTTACAGAATTTCCAGTCTCCATGTGTGGGAACAACCCATATAGATGACAGTAAGGCCCAAAATTAGTCTTATGATTTCATACCACCACCAATTTCTGCAAACAGAATTTTGTCTTTCCAAAATAAAACCTTAAAAGTGGTTCTCTTATTATGCTTCTGTGATCAGAACAGGTGCAAAGCATGATACAATAGCCATCTCATGTTTGTATCAGCATCTTTCAGCAGAAGATCCTAAAGCACTTCACAAAATCAATGAAGCCTCATTTTTGTGTTAGTCTGTATAAGTGCTAGGTATAATGGCACTGCAGTTTTAAAGAGTAACTAAAAATTATCATTATATTATTACTCTGTGAAAATTTATGTTAAGAAACTAGAAACTGCCATATAGAATAAAGAGACCCGGTCAAATATTTCCTCACCCACTTTGTCCCTCTAATATCCTGGGACCAACATGGCTAGAACAAAACTGCAAACATACAGAATAAAAGCAGTACATCTCTCAAATCCAGTTTTTTCACAGTGGCCAATATCAGACACTTCTGAGCAAGGTGCAAAAAATCCTGTGATTGAAAATTCTGAAATAACCTGCCCACAGCAAGTTTTTATTACTCTTGATCGGTTAGGACTTGTCTTCACAGTGGAGTAATGCAAATTACAAGGGTGTGATTTGTAAAATGCACTGATGTATTGCACATTAGTTGGTCCATTTAGACCCTGCTGGTGCACGCTAAAGGTTCCCTAGTGCTCTTTACCGTAGTACTGTTTGAAATCATACTATATAAACTACACTAGAGAATCTTTAGCGTGCACCAGCAGGGTCTACAACAACCAATTAATGTGCATCATATTAATGCACTTTTGAAATCACTCGCCTATAGTCTCCATTACAGTTCTGTGTAGACAAGCCCTTAGCTTTATGCCCTGAAGCACAAAGGTTTATATACACTGTAAAAAAAATCTTAAAGTAAGTTTTAAAGTAATTGGGTCATAATCATGTCTTGTCCTTTTTTGAATCCTAGAGGACTCTTAACCTTTATCTTATCTTATCCTAACCTATCTGTAGGTTTATACATAGTGTAAAAGGGCAACAAAACTGGGCTAAATGGACATTTAAAAAACAAGTCCCTATATCTCCTGTCCCAAAGAGCTTATGTGAGCTAACTATAAAAAAGTAATGTTAAAGTGGGGAGGAGGGAGAAGTAATAGGCTTAAACAGTTGCTGTGCTTAGTAATACACACACAGTTTTAATGTTTATTTCCTTATAATTACATTGAATGCCTCCTCTTGCGTTATAAATAACTAGGAGGAGGCATTACTAACCACAACCACCATATAAGCCTGTTACTGTAACCAGTTTCCCCCTATCCTGCCCACTCCCCTCTGTATCATCCCTGGTTTATATGCAGATCACATTAGTTCTGTGGGGCAGGTCCAAGATTTAAAGTTTATTTTTAACTGCCAGAGAGGCCTAACCCAAACCGAAAGTTTAGACCAGGAGTGGCCAACCTGAGCCTGAGGAGGAGCCAGAATTTACCAATGTGCATTGCCAAAGACCCACAGTAACACGTCAGGAACCCCCCCGTCAGCTCCCCACCCACCAGCAGCACCACCGATCAGCACCTAACCCTCCATCCCTGCGCCTCCCGGCAGCTATGAGCAGCTCTTTTGGGGGGGGGCGGGGGGTTGGGGGGGGGGCGGGGGGGGAAACTCAGGAGAAGGGGCAGTGGCCTTGGGGGAAGGAGTGGAGTGGGGCCGGGACCTGGGGCAGAGGCAGGGGTTGAGCAGTGAGCACCCTGTAGCACATTGGAAAGTTGGCGCCTGTAGCTCCAGCCCCAGAGTCGGCACCTATGCAAGGAGCCGCATATTAACCCCTGAAGAGCAGCATGTGGCTCCGGAGCCACATGTTGGCCACCCCTGGTTTAGGCAAAAAAACAAAAAACTTCAGCCATTTATTTACAGCTAGCATTTGACATTGCTTTGTGTAGTGAGTTTCACTTCCTACCATCACATACTGTCACAGTGAGCTCACACTCATGTTATATTCTGGGAGCAGAAGACACTTCCATCAATTCAGTGAGCATGTAGTACCCCAACATTCCTATCACCACTGGATCCCTCTATCTAGCCAGGAGAAGAAGTGGCCTGGCAAAACAGACCACTTACCCTTGGGCCCTTGCTTGGCGAATATCTTCCCCCAAATCCCCTGTACAGAGACAAAGAGCTATAGGTTGCAGCAGGGACAATCAGGAACAGCATGAGGGTCACCCCAGACCTGTAAAGATGGTTCTGGTGGAGCAGGCTGGGGGACTAGGCTTGTGGGTCATCATTCCCCAGACTTCTAAGGGGCAAGGTGCACTGGAGGCCGGTGGAGGGCTCATCCTGGTTCCATACACCCTCTTAGTAGAGTGGGGAGAGCACCCCTCTAGATTCTGGTCATCACTTCCTAGGACCGTCCACAAGCCCAAAAGCCTGGTAACAAGTCTCCCAGACTTGTCCATGACAGCTACTTTTGAATCTGCTTGAAAGCTGCATTTCAGTTTCCAATTCCTTTTGAACTTGTATTTAGGAAGTTTCATGGCTACTTCAGTGTGGCATAAAATAGTTTAAATATTCACAATGAACCCTGACAGCTAACTGATCAACAGGCAGGGTATTAGCATAAGCTATAAAACAAGCCTCAAACCTGCTGCTCTTGGCAAAGGGCAATTAAGATGCATGCACCTGTGAAGAGGCAGGAATAATAAAAGTTAACACAGGATAGTCAATTTGAGCTGATCTTTTAACCATTGAGCATTAGGGCAGCTTAGAATCCATAGCTAAGTGACTTCTTGGTGCAGCATCCTATCCCCCAGACAAACAAATGAATCAAAACAATAAAAAACTAACCTTAGTGGAAGCTGGTGAAACGGATCAACTGATTCAATGACAGGGAACTCAGTCTTCCAATCAGCAAATTTTCCTCCTCAAGGTTTTACCCTGAGTACAGTAAGAATGATTTCTAAATCGCTTTACATAATTAAAAAGAAAAAGGAACAAAAAACACCCCATTAAAAATACCTATACTATAAGCCAGCCCCTAGAATAACTTCATGTGAAATGCACCCTTCCTAAGGATTTACTACCACC